ACTGATTGTTGCATGTGGCCTGATTGTTGACAGTATTTATTTATACATCTGTGATCGTACGCATTATGAACAACGATGCCTACATTTGACTAATATGTCAAATGTGACTGTGGCTTACATGGTTTGTGGCTTGAATGCACAACAAAAATGTATGCCAGTAATTGGTTTGTATCATGATTTGAATATAGAACATGATACTCATGGCATGTGACCTACGTGACTTGAATGCACAATAATTGGCTTTATTGTGTAACAATGCATACCTACGTGACCTCATTCAGTTGAATATAGAACATGATACTCATGGCATGTGACCATGATAATCGTCTGTGACTAAGTTCTTTTGTAGCATTACACATGCCAGTGACCATATTATTTCTGGTTATACAACAATGTTAATCTATCTGTAGCCAGAGTACACAGTTGCATACATCTAATTGTGTGTGATTTCCCTACATTTACTTAACATTGGGTCTTTCTAAACAATTTTGTATAGGATTGGCAATATATCATACCGAAGGAACGATGGTCCCCAGGCAAGATTACAGCATCAGTCAGCAAGGGTGTACTTTCAAGTATCCAAGCAAAATTATCTGACCGACAGAAGCTCATTATAAAGGGAACATGCTTTGCCCATTTTCTCGACTGCCATGAAATTGTGGTACAACCGCAATTAATTCACTACTTCCTCTTGCGGCAGGTCCAACAACCTAATCCTAAAGAGTTGTGGTTTTTAGTTGCTGGGCGTTATGTTAGATTCTCTATATCTGAGTTTTGCATAGTCACGGGGCTGACATATTCTAGCGATAGTGACACGGGCATTTTTGAAAGTAGACAGTCACAACTGAAGAATAAGTACTTTTCCCAAGTCGATATCATGACACATGAAGATGTGAAGTCCACATTCATATCTGCTTGCCAAATACCTGATCTGGATCTTGTTGAAATTCTCCCAGATCATGATGTGGCACTCATTGGTATCCTGTACTTCATTACTGCATACTTATGTCCTAGAGATTATAAGAAAGTGGTTGACCATTACTTGTTCACGCTTGTTGAGGACTTCCCCGCGCTGAATAGTTTTCCATGGGGAAAGTTACTGTTTGAGATTACTTTGAGTTCTTTAAAAGATGCATTGAGTCGACAAACCGCACATTATAGGCTACGAGGTATGTTGGTAGCCTTTCAAGCATGGATCTACGAAACCTTCCCTGACCTAGATGAAGTTATTGTCACAAGGGTATCGAGGACACACCCTCGAATCAATAACTAGAATGCAAACGAGCAACCTTCTGCATCTAAGTTGGAGGAGCTGGGCTGCTTCAACAAGCCTAATGTAATGTTTCAGTAATCCATATTCTGCTGATAGTGGAACATATGGTAAACTTATTGGTTCTCTAATCTTTTATTGTAATGCAATGCAGATTGAAATATGTGACCTGATGCCTACTGAAGCTGAAATGGCAATGCCATACATGGATGGCATGCAGCATAACAAAACAATTCAACCAGAGTTTTCTCAGAGCAGCCTTCAAAAGGAAAGTGGGAAGGGAAAGTTTGTTGATCCTTCACACATGAGTGAGAAATCAGTGCCTTTGGTAACGGACACTGGTGTTAGAAAGGCCCACATTACAAATGATGATGACGATTTTGTGGATTCTCCACGACGATGTGAGGGGCTATCCCATCAAGAAACACCCCGTGCTGATGAAGGCCCTTCAGGTCCCCAACTTTCTCCGAATGAAGAACAACATCATGGGATCCAAGGGAGTGCTGTAAGATTATTTTTATATCTGTTCAATTGTTTTCAAATTGTGGTCACAATTCACATAGTACTAGTCACAGTTCACTTAGTACTCGTCACAGTTCAATTCTCATGGTCACAGGCATCTTTTATAAGGCCACATTTAACTATTTATCTTAATCATGTTTACAGGTGCTTCACGATTTGAATGCTCAACTTTCAGAACTTAAGTCACAGAATAAAGTATTAACCGTGGAGATGGATGCCATCAAGTCACAGATGTCGAGCCTCAACTCTGATCAGGCAAAAAAGATGTCTGAAATCATCCTAATACAAGGACAGTTAAAACATGACATGATCGAGATTAGGACGAACATGCAATTCCTGTCTGAATCCGTGACTGCAATGATCTCAAGCTCCATGGATGAGATATTAAGGCGAGAAGATCGACGAGTTAGGTACATGATATGTTCAATCTATCTATCACTGAACATAGTTACAGATTTCATGTTTGAAATTCTCCAATTTCACATACAGGTGGAAAAACTGCAACATGTTGTCGACAGGAAAGGGAAGGGAAAGGTCGACCCAACTGAAGATGTTGCCTTTCCAAGTAGTCTCGAACCACCATCATTTGACCTGGGTATCGAATACACACAACTGATGATTTGGAGTCTTCAAAAATTCAAAAGCAGGTAGATGCTGTCATATCTAATGTGATCACAGGATCCCAAAATGTTGACGAAGAGGTATTCAAATTAATTTTTTTTAGTGTAATATGCTAGTCACACAATGTGTACGTCGAATTTATGTAAACTAAATGTGACCTTTACAAGTCACAGGGATCACCAACTACAGAATCGGCATCTGCATTACCAGTTAAGCGGGCTTCAAGGCCTGCGAGGATACTGCGGTCCCCATTTGTTGTCAGGGAAGGAAAGGTACTACGGCATGACGGTAATGTTATTGTATTTGAAAATTATAAAGACCATGTTGATGAAGCTGATAAATCAGCATTCTTGGGTTGGTTTCAGAGAGGGTACAAACCCAAAAACAGGCATGTACATGTTTCTTATATTTTCAAATACACTGGTCACACAGTTACAGTATCTTGACAGTCAACTTTTGGCAACAAGAAAAAGTTTAATGAGCAAGATGACCAAATCAAATCAGCCTTTAGTATTGGCTTATACCCTGTCGGTCACAAGACATGGTTCCATCAGCTGATAAATGCAGAAACGTCTTTAAGCGGCTTGGTATGGTAACGCTTATCTATCTGTTCACTACACATTTCCTTGTTAACCAGTCACACAACATTAGGAATCTCATACAACACTATGCACATACTGCTGAGCAGCCCACTGTCATAGAGTCATAACTTTTTAATGTTGTACCTAACTGTGTCCTTCATGTTCAAAAAGCACATGGATGCATGTTTCTACTATATTCGCCAGGTAGCAAAATTTGGGAAAGTAAAGTTAAGAGCTACAACGAAGTACCCGTGGTTCCAGAACAAGATAAAAGATATATTTCCCGCTTTCCAAAAAGACCCTCAAGTTATGTTGTCGGAGAGCAGCATGATTAAGGTTGTCACAGGTCGCTTGATATCCCTAAGCACATCTTGGGCCGATGTAGATTATGTGTTCATACCACTCCTGCTCACAAACAAAGCTCACTGGATGCTAGGTCTGGTAGAATTTAGAAGCCATACTTTGATGCTGTTCAATTCAGCTAGAAAAATGTATCGTGATTGGAATGTGCTGGAAGGTATTGAACCCTATGTGAAGGTATTGCCTGCTCTTATGAAAGCATTGGGAATTTCCAAAAAAGACCACGATTACAACGAATCTGAATGCAAGCAAATGAAGGTGACCATTGACAGTACCCTGCCTCAGCAGACGAATGGGTAAGTATGTGACCAACTACAGCAGTATATCTTGTAAATTAATTAATTCACAACATACTATAATGTGTGCTTTTACAGTCATGACTGCGGGGTGTTCGTGATATTGTATGCATTATATATCCTCCGTGATGGCAGATGTGCTATTCTCCATAAGTTCGATGCTGTAAAATGTAAAATTGATATCGCCTCACTACTCTACAAACACCGAGAACCTTACGTGAAGAAGGCGAGGTAGGCTTTTAAAGGGGAGGGGATTGTAATAGAATGAGAAATATGAAAACATTTGTAAATGAGTTTTATGCTTCAGTTGGTAGCATTTTATATTTCTTTCAAGCAATGGGGGTGTTTGTACTCAATACTGTCATGTGGATGTGAATATGTTTTTGCAATACATGGGTGCCCCAACCTTCATTTGTTAATATGTTGTTGCAATACATGGATACACAGTTGTGCTTTTGGTATATGATTTATTTTTTAATGCCGTGTGTAAATTAGTTCACATATCAACAGTACCAGGTCACAGATTTAATATTCCATTTGGTGGGAGTTACTTTGGCATGACATATGTCGATAACAGGTCACATGTGATATACATAGCAAGTCACGGATTTAGCACACATAATATATGATGCAAAGATCAGGTCACAGGTCGAACTGTACCTCGAACATTAGGTCACAGTACCATGTCACAGATTTAGTATTGCTTTTGGTCGGCGTTTCAGTTTGTCATTACATATGTTAATAACAAGTCACATAGTAAATAACAGGTTATATATCTGGCCACTGATTTGGTTGTGATTTTGGTCACAGTTTTTGTTTGCCATGGCACATGTCAAGAACATGTCACATATCAATTACAATAGCCTGCCAAGAGTTGATCACAGTACATTTTACTTATGGAATCTGTGACCTGGACATATATTTGTTCTCCACCACGTTTAGGTCACATTTCATGCCTTTAAGTGAATTAATAGTCACAGTTCAAATATATTGGTGTATATGGAATCTATAATCACAAATTTACAAAACTCTATGTTCAACTGAATAAAAAGTGCAGATGTACTTCATTTATCATTTATTACCTTACTATTTAAAAATTATTTGTCAATTGATCAATTGAAACACATGTCTACATGTTGGTATGCTAAAAATAATTCAAGAATGTGACCTAACTTTGATAAGTCTTTATCATGTATTGACTTCCTATCAACCGTTCTTACTTGATGGGACCAAACTTGAGCACCTCCAGCGGTTGTGACCATGTGCACCACAACGTCCACATCTTACTTTTGGCTTCCCTTCTCTAGATGATCTCTTCCTCTTCTCAGTAGGTCTTCCAAAACTCCGCTTTTAGTTAGGAGCTAAAATAATTTGGAATTCTACTTCATCGAGCACTCTCCACTCGTCTGGATTTCCAACAGGATATACCGAACTTTCGTAAGCATTTACATATGCTTCCTTTGTGTAATAATAGGAACAGTAAGAATATGTATCCCTTTTTGTATGTGCGATTACAGCCAATGCATGTAGACAAGGCATCAAATTGACCTGTAGCATCCTGCAAGTGCATGTACGTTGCTCAATATCAACAACAAATGTGGACCTTTCATCGCTCACGGAGAACACTGTTTGGTTGGAAGGAGATACCTGTGAGAGTGTCATAGCACCAATGTTATGTGTTAGTTTAAACTCAAAAAAGAATAGGTCACAGACATTCATATCTCAGTGCACAATGGTATGTTCAGGTCACAGGACTTCATACTTAGGTCACAGGTTTAGCATTAGTAACAAATTATATATCACGACAAACAAAGTACATAGCATCACATACGTAAATTAGTGGTCACATGAAATTAATATTTGGACACATAAGCACATACGTACATTCCATGTCACAGACACCTATGATATAATCACATGCATATTTCTGTTTAGTCCACATACAGGAACTTCAAGATACCTAAGAACCTTACCCTCAAGTTCCTTAATTCTGAACTCATTCTCCTCATGACGTTCTCGAACTTGCTAGTCAATATCGTGAAAGTTCCATGCGCTTCGTCTCTATGTTAACAGAACTAATTTTGTACTGTTTGTCGCAATGACTCCAGCAAGAATACAATGGGGTAATTCTTAGCTGCCTTTGTGACCGCATTTACTGATTCTACAATGTTTGATGTCATTGTAGAGTATCTATTTACCGGCATATGTATTCATGACCACTTTTCAGGGCCTACTTCATCCTGCCAAAATATATCGTAGTATGAGAATAGTATAAAAGGATATATGTGACCACTTCACTGCATGTGATAATGCAGTGCTGTAGTCAGTACCGTACCAGGTAATCACGAATCTTATCATTCATTGCGTCTAGTTGTTGCATGTTGTATTCAAATTCTTCTAATGTGTAAGCCCGGACAGCCGAATTGAAAGCCTGCGTAATATTTTGCCCTGATTTCCCATAATATGATTTGAGATTCTACAGCAAATGGTACGAGCAGATACCATGGCAACTTTCCGGGTACACCTACTCTATTGCTTTCTTTATACTGCCATGACGGTCCGATACAAAACACAATCCTTCTCTGTGCCCATATGCATTCTTCAGTTTCTCCAAAAACCATCTCCACGATTTGTCGTTCTCATTATCCCCTACTCCAAAGGCAAGAACAAATATGTCATTATTTGCATCCTGTGTACATGCTGTGAATAGGGTACCTCCGTAATGACCATTCAAATAAGTACCGTCAACGACAATTACGGGCCTACAATGTTGCCACCCCTATATTGATGCACCGAGTGCCATAAAACAATACTTGAACCTATTGTGACTATCAACCTCCAACTCTGTGACCGTACCAGGATTTCTTTGTCGAACTATGTAGAAGAAGCTTGGTATCCTACCGAATGATTCCGTCGGATCACCCCTAATCATCTTCAATGTTTGTTCACGAGACCTCCAAGCTTTTGAGTAATTCAAATATACTCCAAACGTATATAGCATATCACTGCTTATGTCCTTTGGTACGTATATGGTGCCAGCCGATGTGTACTTGTACTTGATGCTAGATGACACAACTGCAGCTGATACTTGTCTGTGTGACCCCAACACCACATTTGATGCACATGTGTGACTACCAATCTTTCGAATCTTAAATAGATTCGTTTCACCCCATTTTGACGATCGGCATATCCAAGTACATCCTTCATGAGAACACCTCACCACATATTCTTTCTTGTCGGATCGTTCAACCATAAACTCAAACATGTTTCGTATGGCAAAAAACGATAGGCTCAATTTTAAAATATCCTTATCACGGAAAATCCTGCCTTCTTCGACCTGAATAGCATCTGCTATAGAAATAATCGTGACTTCATTGTCACAAATGTGACCTAAATGTTTACTTGATGCTTCGCAAATTTCTGTGGCCACATCCTGCAACGTATAAAGCTCACTGTTACGATAAGCATTATCTGTGACCATGTCAGACGGGTACTGTATTGTTGCATCAATTATGTCAATGATTAATGGGTATTTAGCTGGATCATGATCGACTTCTTTCAACAAAATGTATGCAAGCACGTTGCTATCATTTTTTATCCTGATTGCAGGCAAATCGTCATTGAGTATATACTTCAATGATACTGCTACCTTGGTTGGATCCAAGCTGAACTCTGACATAATCATGTTTACAAGGTTTATATAACTGCATCCACGGTCTACCAACGCCAAAGCTGACTGAGATTCATGCAACAAACATACGTGCAAGTACACCATTTCTGCAAAATTGAACTTCAAAGCATCACATTCTTGATGGTTAATTTAATACTGTGCATACAGTTTTATATAAGAATTTATGCAATAACATGAAGTCACTATTGACACAAAAAAATGCAGGTCACATTTGGTGACACACAGGTCACATCTCATGAACAAAATTGGTTTCATTCTCTTCTCCAATTCGCTCTTCTCCAATCCGCTCACACGTTCACATATGTGACATGCGTATGGATACTGTTGTGTCGAGTGGTCATATTTTGGTCAAATATTGGATCATATTTTGGTCAAACATCGGAATAGGTCACACACGAGTATGATTAGTGGTAATATAACATGTCTTACAAATAATCAAAAACAAATTGAGGTCACATTTTTTTCACAGCAGTCACATTCAATCGACCACATTTGTTTTAGTGGTCACAGACATCCACAATCGATGCTACACTTGTCTACGACTGGTTACACTCAATTAAGTCACATCTCATGCATGTTGTTCATGTCCCACTGCACAATATTATTGAATTTGAGACATATGTGGCTACGATAGATACGGAAGCTGGAAATTTGCGTACAGAAGAAATTCGGAACTAATCTGATGATGCTAATTGCGAAAAAGGAAGGAGTGCAATAATCGGACCAATACTTGGATTGATTTCTGTTATGCGAAAACGTCAATTTCTCCAAGGCAATCCCAAATCTATGACACGAAAATATCAATGTCGATGAATTAGGGTTCTACAGTGTCCGGATTGAAATTACTCTGGATGTTTTATTTTTGATGATGATTTTGTAGGGGTAGAAACGTTTTATTGATGGAAACTAGGCGGGATTATAGGAAAGATACGTAACAGATATATTATATATATACACACACACCTGAGATTTGAATATATACTTTCTATACCTCAATTGCGAAATGGTGTTAAGTATACACCTTATATATGAATTTTTCCCATTTGTGATTATGTCAAATCTATTAAGTGATCAATTGGGCCTTTTATATCTTACGAGTTGTATTTAATATGATGTGGAAAATTTAAGTATTTGGATTGGAAATAAACCCTAATTAGAGTTTCAGTCGTAATGGGACGGCTCAATAATTTTCCATATAAAGGCTAGATCCCCTCTCCTCTCCATATTATTTTTATTAGCTTGTCTTATTGATGACTAATACTTTGTGATGATCAAGGAATGGAAGATCTAGCTGTTATTATTTATATCAACAATGACTTTCGTAGATATGAATTCGATTTATCAATTTATTACTATGTGATTCTTGATCCTTAGCATGATTACAATTAAATTCAACAATTGGTAGCAGAGCTTAATGCAAATATAAGAATCCTCAATAAAATAACATAATATTTGCGTGTCTAGCTGGTTTGAATTCATTCTCGAGTAAGCCAAAAAAGCAAGTTAGTTATGTGATGAGGTATTGAGTTACGTATTTTTCTGGTGCTTCATTAATGAGTTGCCTTTCTTCATGATATTTGAAGGATGCTGCCGCCACTGTTCACCAAATTACGTGAATTATGTGCCTTTGTTTTTCATCATGTATTTCATCCTCTATCTCAATGCTTACTTCATTATTTTTCGAATCTGGATTCAGAAGCTCCGGCCCAAAGTTCCCACCTTCACTGACTATCCAGCAATGTCAAATTATGAGGCGGGTGGAAATTTTGGGTCTGCGTTGTAAAAAGAAATAATAATAAAAAAATATAATTAATTAATTTTGTAATTGCCGATTTCAAAAGAAATAGGTTCAAGATATGGCGTTTTGGTTGGCGACATGTTTTATTAGTCTAGCCATTGGTTTTGTTTACTGGATTTACAGCATATATATGATGAGATTGATAAATCAAGGTGCCACCCCAAAATAAAAAATAAAAAAATAAGGAAGGAATTGGTTTTCAGAAAACAAATGGGCAGTTTTGTGATGGGGACCTCGCATGTATGAGATATTAGATGTTTTGAGGGCTCAATTAATAATTTCAAAAATGGGCCAGTTTGCAATTTTCAAAGAGTGGTTCTAAATTGGTTATTTAGAAGGTTTGACCCTAAAATTTCAATTCCGACCCAATTTAAATTTTATTTAAAATTAACTCGATAAAAAGTATATTAAATAATAATAATAATAAAATTAATTGTTGACTTTTATATTCTTGTTAAAATATTTATATTCATTTAAATGTTGCTATTATTTGTGCCCTTAAATTTCATTTTTCATATATGTTGAAATTTCGTTGTCAATTTCATCTCTCAATCATATATGGATTTTTGCCTTTTATCAATTGATGGATATGTATAATTATTATTTTGTGATTGAATTTTTCATGGGTTTTGAGACGATCATTGTTTTTCCACAAAGAGAAATATTTTGAAATAAAAATGAGTAGTAGCTGCCAAAGTGGTACACTCATTATTATGTATTTGATTTTCTTTGTAATAAAAGTATATTTTGCACAATAATTTTGATTTATTGCTTATAATATCTTGCCAAAGGTGTTATTATATGTGATATTTCCGGAAAGATGGCACACGGCGATTAGCGAGCTTACTTTGGTCTGAAAATTTCATTTTCCCCAAACGTGTTGATGTTCTGAAACCAAAGTAATTTCGTTAATTAGGTACATGATGTGTGTTAAAAGTACCTTATAGCATGTTGTATCGTCAGCACAAAGATGACTTTATGATGATGCATCTAGGCTCATTGTAATGAAATTCATATAGTTTTGATTTAAATTACGGATTATCTAATTAATAGCTCATGTTAATTAGTTGGATATTTTATCATCCATTTGACTGCATGCATTATATTTGGATGATATTGAATATGATAATTTATGTTTCCACAGTTTATAATGTCTCATATCTTTCGAATTAATTGTCTGCCGTTGAAATCTTGATTGGAAATAATTATGTGAAATGGAAACGAGATATAGATATAGCACTTGGTCTTTTGGGCTTGGACTTTACGATGGAGAAAAGGCTTGGGAAACCCACAAATAAGAGCACAGTTAATATGTAGCCGAGTATGAAAAATGGGAAATGGTCAACAAACTTTGTTTGAAAATCATTAAGCGCTTTATATTCGATTCCATTATGAGTGTTATCCCCGATAATGAAAATGTCAAAGATTTTATGGATGTCATAGGAGAAAAATTTATTGAGTCTGATAAAGTCGAAACTGGGGATCTGATGGACAAATTGGTGAATATGAAATATGATGTTACAAATGGTGTTAGGGAGCACGCTATGAAGATGATAAATATATCATCTAAACTAAAGGCTCTTAAAAGTCTATTGGTCTTAGTTTGTTATGAGTCTTCTTTAGTAGATGTGTTTTTGAATTCCTGGTGGTTAGACTCTGGAGCTTCAACAAATGAATGTTAAGACAGCATTTTTGAATGTCGATCTTTCTGAAATGGTTTATAGGAAACAACCTGAATGCTCTTTTATGAAAGGAAAAGAAAACTTGGTATGTAAATTAAACAAATTCTTAAATGGTCTCAAACAAGCATCTCGACAACGGTATTTAAAGTTTGACAAGGTTGAGACCTTCTTATTTATGTTGAAAATATAGTTGATCAATGCATTTATCTCAAAATCAGTGGGAAAAATTTTATTTTCTATGTCTGTATGTTGATGACATTCTGCTATCTAGCAGTAATGCAACGCCCTGAGCTCCGAGAACTCGTGACATTACAAAGAGCTTATATTTATAAATTTACTCCTTAATGGTTCATAAAATGTAGCAGCTTAACTTGAAATAAAAACATTAAGGCTCTAGAGAACTTATTACAAAATTTAAGAAAATTTTCGTGCGGAAAGTTTGACTTCAACTTGTATGACTTTCTGAAATAAATCTCGTTTGACACATAAATGAAGTCTAAAATTTACAAAATCTTAACTGTAGACATTATACACATAGGGAAATTACAGGTTAAAATTTCGTAGATAAATTCAATCAATAGATTGGTCAAAATTCTTTCTAAACCAGGAAAAATCTGTTCCCGAGTACAATCTGACAGCTCCTGGGAAAATATTCATAACTTGAGTTTTACAGATCCAAAATTCATGATTTCTGGGAAAATATTCATAACTTGAGTTTTCCAGATCCAAAATTCATGATTTCAAATCCAACGGATAGATAACTCATAAGGCTATCTTTTCCAATTAGAATCACCTCAAAACTCCAAGTATTTAGGTCAGGGTAAAGTTTTTAACTTGGAAGCAGAAACTGGAAACATAAACAAACATTTAAAAAAACTGTTTGTCTCAAAACATGAATTCGAACTGCAATATTCAGGACACAAATGAATAATAAACATAAAAATGGCTAATCTTAAACATAAAATAAATTTCTCTAAAAATAAAAGATGACATTCATGCTGGTATTTTGACAAACAAGAGGCTACTGAATGATTATTTTAATGGGCATACGATAGTGGCACTGGCGCAATCAGGAGATGCATTCAGGGGATGTGACCAGATGTCCGATAAGTTGAAGTTGGAGATGGTGTTTATACTGGAGAGTGTATTGAGGTGTCATCACAAGAAGACGTCGATTGACGTTTTTAATTTGCAAGTTGTTGATGAGATCGTTACGTTCAATAGCTATCCGTGGGGACAGAGATGCTTTGTCGATACTTTATGCATCTTCAGGATGGGGTATTCGATACCTAGGGGAGATAGGCCGGAGCGTAAGTACGATATATATGGCATGCCGTTAGCTTTGCAGGTAAATGTTTAACATAATGATATCTATTTTTTTTATTAAATTGTACATATAATAATCGTAATTGTTGCAAATATGGGTCTACGAGACTGTCCCCATCCTGGCTGGTCGGTATGCAAGGAGAGGGGATACATGCATCCCTCGGATGCACCGCTGGCGAGCACAAGACAAGCCCCTTGCAAAACAGTTGTCCACTATCGTCGACGATCCCGAGGTACGTATTATATATTTGCCCTTTCTGTTGTATGTCATTTTCAAT